GACCAAGGTCCAAACCACTTGGGAAGCAGTTTGCGTGAAACATCCTGTTCCTGTGCAAACTCTTCCGCGGAGACCCAAACCAGATCATCGGCGCGGATGGGACATGGTACGCGACGCCCGTTGGCTTGCTGCTGCATGCGGACTTGAGCCTTTTGCATATTTGCGCGGGCTTGAGTCAGCAATTCCCTGTAATTCCGGACGGAAGAGGGAGAGCAGGCAGCGTCAATGTCGGCTGGTCGAGGGAGGAGAAGGTCGGCGAAGATCCGGCCTTTCCGTCCACCATGGTGCAACTCGAATGGAGTCACGCCGATCGCCGGATGCACCGAAGTGTTGTAGGCGAACTCGATGTCGGGGAGGCGGTCAACCCAATCTTTCTGGTCCGGACGGATGAGCGTACGAAGCATCATTTGAGCGGTCTGATGTGCCCGCTCCGTCTGCCCGTCTGTCTGAGGGTGTCGAGCCGAACTTGGTTTCATTGTTGTGCCGGACTCCTGCATGAGAGCAGTTCAAAACGCCGACATGAATCGAGTGTCGCGGTCGCTGACAATGTCTTCTGGTACACCGTGGCCACAAATCCAACCAGTGTGCAGGAGGCGTGCCAGCTCGGGAGCCGTGGAGTAGTASTTGCAAGGGAGAAAACGCGCGTACTTATTCAATCGGTCCATAACCGTGAGGATGTCGTCGTGCCCGAGCCGATCGCGAGGAAACGGACCGGTGACGTCCATGGCAATGGAGAGACCGGGTTCCCGTGGGATAGGCATCGGGTGTAACTCGCCGTAGGGATTGCGGTTGCGGGGCTTGCTGCGTCGGCAAACTTCGCAAGAGTCGCAATACCGAGTGACATCGGTAATGAGGTCGGGCCATCGGAGTCGCTGTCGAAGTCGTGCAATAGTGCGGTTGACTCCGAAATGGCCGGCGAGTCGTGAATCATGGTACTCGCCGAGGAGGCGAGTCCGAAGACGACGGYYGYGTGGGACACATAGTAAGTCCTCGCCTCTCGAGTGGAGGAGCAAGTACCCGTCGGCAATGCGGTAATGGCTGGCCGGCGGGTGATCCGAAGATAGCTGTGCATAGAGCGTGTCGAAGTCCGGATCAGACTTATATGCCCGGATGAAGTGTCGCTGAAGCTCCTCGTCGAATGCGAAGGCATGATGTGTCATAGCGCAAAGATCAGGTCTTCGCGAGAGTGCATCTGCTGCGCAATTGGAAAGGCCGGGGAGATGCTTTGGTGTGAAGTCAAATTGGTCGATGAAGTACATCCATCGTCCGATCGTGCTGCTCACCGTGTCCTGCGTCTTGTAGTAGGTCAATGGATTATTGTCTGTGATCCATGTGAACCTACGACGCCCAAGGAGGAAGTGCCGCCAGCGTTTGAGAGCCATCACGAATGCGAGCAGCTCCTTCTTCCTTGCATCATCAAGCGAGTTGATGGGAGACACTTTGTGGCTAAAATACTCCACAGGGTGCCAGTCGTCGTCGTCGTGCTGTTCCAGGACTGCCCCAATGCCATAGCCGGAAGCGTCCGTAGTCACTCGTGTCAGCAGGGTGGGTTCATAAATGCTAAGGACGGGTGCCATGAGCATAGCCGTCTTAAGTGCTTGGAATGACCGGTGTGCGTCGTCATCGAATACGAATGGCACCTTTGGCGACTGTAACCTCGTTATAGGTGCAGCAATCTTGGAGTATCCGGTGATGAATTGCTGATAGTAGCCCGCCAACCCCATGAATGAACGAACGTCCGTGGTGTTGGTGGGCTCAGGCCATACTCGTAGGGCCTCGATCTTGTCCGCAAGC